ATGTAAATAAAGGGTAACTTGGTGACAGGATACTAGCCTCTGTGCAGTTATTTCAGGGTGGTATCAACAGTCTTAGCCATAAATATCAAGAAATTAAAGTGTGAAAGTTGGAAAGAGACAGATAAGCAAAGAGGGAGGGGAAGAGAGAAATAGGCAGACAGACCATCAAGACAGGAGAGAGCAAGGGTTAGCGAGGGAGGAGGACTAGGAAAGAAAATGAGAGAATGAAAGACAAGCAGGAGCAAAGAGAGGTTAAATAAGGGAAAGAGATGGAGGGATAAAAAAAAATCAAAGGACAATGAAAGGACCGAAAGACAAATAAACAACTGGAGGATTGAATCTGTTCCCTACATTTCAATAGTCACTATACTACAGAAGTTCTTATTTAGCTGTAAAGCAATTTGAGATGTCCAGTGATTGTGAACAACACTAGATAGAGTCATAGAGTCATACAGCATAGAAACAGACCATTTGGTTCATCATGTATATGTGACCGACAAACACCAGTCTACACTAATCCCAATTTCTGGCATTTGGTCCATAGCCTACTATGCCCTGGCATTTTAAATGCTCATCAACTCATGATCTGCTCTGTTTATACTTAGAGACAGGGCTGAGAGAGAGAGAGAGACATATACATAAGAGGCAGATAAAGGCATTGCTGATGATGAGCCAAGATGGAGCTAAATGTTGAGTAGGGTACTGAGGGGACGCGTACTTTCAGATTTCCAGCATCTGCAGTTCTTTGCTTTAGTTTTGCTACATAACTGCAAGCCTTTCTTTCTTTAAAAGTTTTATCAGACAAACAATGAAGGTCAGAAGTAAACGAAAGGGGTTATTGATTGCTTGGGCTTTGATGTGTCTGTACCCTAACCTTTCGATGCTGAAGAAGATTAGGAGGTGACAATACCATGAGCTGACAGCCTCTCACTTGTGCCTTGTGGTGTGGTGGTAGTGTCCCTACCTCTGAGCCAGAAGGCCTGGGTTCAAGGAGGGGAGGCAATGGCCTAGTGGTATTATCACTGGACAGTTAATCCAGAGACCTGGATAACATTCTGGGGACCTGGGTTCGAATCCCGCCATGGCAGATGGTGGCATTTAAATGCAATAAAAATACCTGGAATTAAGAATCTAATGATGACCATGAACCCATTGCCGATTGCTGGGAAAAAACCCATCTGGTTCACTAATGTCCTTTAGGGAAGGAAACTGCCATCCTTACCTGGTCTGTCCTACATGTGACTCCAGACCCATTGCAATGTGGTTGACTCTGGGATGGGCAATAAATGCTGCCTAGCCAGCGGCATCCTCCTTCCATTAACGAATAAAGGACAAAAAAAAAGTCCCACCTACCCCAGATGTGTATCTGAACAGGCTGACTAAAATATGTATCTACGGCATCTCACTGTCAACAGCAAACCTCAGCAACCTCCACTGTTCACTCAGATCATTGCTGCAGGACTGATTGTTGCTGTTGACTCTGACATGAGCCATCACTAACAGTCTTCCTAATCGCTAAGCTCCCGCCAGAAAGTGTGGGTGTGTGGACATCAGGATAGGTGTGGAGAGAAGGAGGATTCTAAAACAAGAAGCTACAGATGGTGGATGCATTGGTTGCAATTTTCCAAAAGTCTGGAGAATAAGCCAATGTGGAACTTCTATTCAAAAAGGAAGGGAAGCAAAAGGAGGATAACTATTGGTTGATTAGCCTTATGTCAATTGCTGGAAAAGTATTAGAATCAACTATTAAGGAAGAAATAACAGAACATTTGGAAAATCATAATTTAATCCAGCAGAGTCAGCACAAAAGGGAAAATGCATCTGCCTAATTTATTAGAATTTCTCAAGAATATCTCAGACAACGTGACTACCGCATAGTCCTTGTAGAAATGAAGCCCCGCCTTCACATTCAGAACAACCTCCATAATGTGGCATTATCACTGTGCTAACTGGGACAGGCTTCAAACAATCTAGCAACTCAACACTGGACATCCATGAGGCACTGTGGGCCATCAGCAGCAGCAGGATTGTACTCCAACACCGTCTGCAACCTCATGGCCCAGCATATTTCCCCACTCAACCACTACCATCAAGCCAGGGTATCAATGGAGAGTGCAGAAGGGCATGGTAGTAGCAGCACCAGGCATACCTGAAAATGAGGTGTCAAATGAGGTCAAGCTACCAAACAGGAGTACTTGCATACCAAACAGGTCAAGCAGCAAATGATAGACATAGTTAAGCAACCCACAGCCAATGAATCAGATCTAAGTTCTGCAGTTCTACCACATCTAGTCACGAGTGGCGGTGGACAATTAAACATCTCACTGGAGGAGGAGGATCCACAAATATCCCCATTCTCAATGATGAAAGAGCCCAGCACATCAGTGCAAAAGATAAGGCTGAAACATTCACAGCAATCTTCAGTCAGAAGTGCTGAATAGAAGATCTACCTTGGCCTCCTCCAGTGGTCCCCAGCATCACAGATGCCAGTCTTCAGCCAATTTGATTCATTGGATTCTGCAAAGGCTACGGGCCCTAACAACATTCTGGCAATAGTACTGAAGACTTGTACTCCAGAACTTGCCAAGAAGAGAAGGGGAGGAGATAAAGAAGAATTTGAGCTAGATAATGGATTAGAAAGGCAGGGGTAGGTGGAGTGAAAGAGGAGGCAAAAAGGGAGGGGAGGAGGGAGGAAGGAGGAAGAACAGATGGGTGTGGGAGAAGGGCAAGTGGAAGAAACTTTGTTTCCTTTTGATTGTAAAAATATACTTTATTCACAAATTATTTCCAAGAACTTAAATTGACAGTTCAACTCAGACATTATAGAAAACAAAATAAAAATATCACATTTTTCATTTGAGCGTTGCACCCCTAGATGCCTCCTTTCAAATGCGAGATTGGAACATTTGCTAAATATGACCAGAAACTGTTTACATTTCAATACAAGCCACGAGGGATTCTGTATATTAATAGACCCAGGGAATGTATATCCTGGCAGAAAGATCCAAGCTGTTCTCCCTGCACCTTTGCAGCTGCTGCCCCAGCTTAAAGTGCAGTCGCATCCTTGTCATTCCAGTGACTTTGTTTCTGGGCAGACAACACAACCAGGGCCAGAGCTTGGGTCCCTGAGTCCTGTATGGATCAATGCCACCCCAGGGTGCTGAGCACTCATTGGGTGAGTGGGGGTCACCTCTGAATGCTGTTTCTCTGGAACATCCCTTTGATCTTACAACCTGAGTGGTTGGGCTGGCATCTTAGCATGTTTTGTATTGTGATTGCTACACTGCCCAGTAATACAACTCACCCGATTGGAAAGTCACTTGTGCCTGCAGCCAGGGAATTGACTCTTCCACAGGATCCCAGCAACCTGCATGTTCAAGGCCTCTGTATTGATTTGATTTATACAGTGACAGACTTTAGGATACGGAGGAGGGTGAAGTAAGGCGTGCAGCTGGAATACAACAGGGGCAAGTGTGGGATAGGGCTCAGATACAAAGAATGGCCTTGGACATTTTAATGAATTTGATTCATTTAAACTTTAATGAATGAATTCCATTCCTGCTGCATAAAACTGGATACTTGTGTTGAAAGGGTTAACATAGAACCTCTGGCTTCAGTGAGTGGGCATGGGATAAACCAAGGGGATTGATCAGCTCCTTCTGCACTCTCTGGGGTAACTTCTGAAAGCCTGGGTAGTGACTTAGACTTGATATATTTCATCTCTGAAATCCAAAAGCAGGGAATTTGTATTATATCTGTGTGAGACATTTTGGTAGAAGTTCCTGTTTTTCTAATCATTCAAGCTGGTTAAGGTTCATTTAATTTCAGACACGCAGAGTGATACTAACCTCCTCCCAATATAGCATCCAACTATGTCTGAAATGTTCCCAGGGCGTTTGACCACTATGACTGTTATCGGGAGGTTTATCTTGTGTGATGACTCCATGTGTAAAGGATTCTGTTTCCGATCCTAAAGGGAGTTTTTGTAAGTTTCATTCAACTCGGCCAAATACTATTCTCGGTGCAATTTAAAGAAAGGTTTGAATTCTTATAGCACTCCTCGCGGTCCTTGAGAGATTCAAATCACTTGACAGTAAGTTAAATACAGTTGAAATGGGTTGGGAGGGGCAAGAAGAAGAGGTAGAGAGGAGGAGTGGGCAAGGAGGGATAGCCGGCAGGATAGAATAGTCGGGGAGTGAAATAATTCCACAGAGGCCAGTATCCCATCTCCAAAGTTACCCTTTATTTACATAGCACTTGACACTGGTCCGGCTCCATCGGAGCCAGCTCTCAGAGTGAGCAGAACCTCTGGCACTGTTTATATCTGTCAGCCAGGGCTCCCTGATTTAACCAGATTAAGTGCCCCAATCAGGGAACTCGTTTTCTATGAAATAGTAAGAACTGCCAATGCTGGAGTCTGAGATAAGACAGCGTGGAGCTGGAGGAACTCAGCAGGTCAGGCAGCATCAGAGGAGCAGGAAAGCTGACGCCTCAGGTGGGGACCCTTCTTCAGAAAATTCTGCTCCTCTGGTGATAGTAATTTCTGAAGAAGGGTTGTGACCTGACGCGTCAGCTTTCCTGCTTCTCTGGACTGCTGTGTTCCTCCAGGTCCACACTGTGTTATCTCATTTTCTATGAGGTCCACTGGTTACAGTGACCTGTTACAGTCAACACAGGGAGGAGGGTCAGACAGGGAAGAAAGATGAAGAAGTGGGAAACAAGAGAGGAGAGGGGAGCAGTGGATGGGAGGGGAGAAAGGAAGGAGAGAAGAAAAGGAGAAAAGGGAAGGGGAGAGGAGGGGAGAAGGGGAGTTGTAAGGGATGTGAGAAGGTCTGGGAAAGAGGAAAGAGGAGGATAGAGGAAGATGGGAGAGTGGGATGGAAGCTGAGGAGAGTTTTGACATCAGTTAAAATTCTGCCCTAATCTTTCCTCTTTCAGTTTACGTGATCTCTCAGTTATTTGAGGCACTCATACACTTGAATTGTCAGGAATCAGGAGAAACCAGTTTTGCTGGCAGTCATGGTTCACAGCAGCAAGCTCAGCACTGTCCAAGTACGACCTAGGGAGGAGATGGGTAAGAACCAGGGTCAGAGGACCCATTATCATTTCAGATATGAGAATTAACTTCAGACTATTAGTGACGTTTTATTTTAAGGGATTCCCTGAGATTGGGGAAAATTTCTCACAGTATCAGGAAGTGTACAGAACAGTGAGCTGCTCTCGGGATTTCGTAACGTGAGACTTACTGGAGTTTCATGACAATACTTACTCATTGCTGCGAGTTGGTTTTAATTCCTTAAAATATTTGCTATTAACTCCAATTATTATTTTTAATGCATGTGACAAATTTTGGAACAGGTCAAAGGTTTCACTGAGACTAGTTACTGATTGTATGATGCAGATTGTTTTCAGCTCTGGTTTTATCCTGTGCTATACCACCCACCAGATAAATAGGAACAAAGCTTTCCTGCGTGCCTCAGTGTCGGTTCCTGAATACACACATTGGGTAAATAATAAAAACTGAAAGAACTGCGGATGCTGTAAATCAGGAAAAGCTGGAAAAGCTCAGCAGGTCTGGCAGCATCTGTGAAGGAGCAAACAGAGTTAACGTTTCGGGTCCGGTGACCCTTCCTCAGAATTGGGTAAATAATATCTGTCTTAGAGTTCAATGTGGACATGGTCAGCACTCCATAAGTACTTGACCTGACTACATCCGGGAGTGGGGCTTAACCCGATTCAGAGACAAGACCAGGCTCCCCCACTGAGGCAAAGCTGACACCTTTGGGGAGATGCGTCAGGAACTGCACATACAAATTTGTGCTCGTGGCTGCAGCACGCAGTGGTTTGTTTTTCATTTGTTTGTGGGATGTAGGCATCATTGATTAGGTCAGCATTTATTGCTCATCCCTAATTAGACCGGGAACAGTTAAGAATCAACCACATTGATGTGGGTGTAGAATCATAGAATGCCTACAGGACAGAAAGAGGCCTTTCAGCATATCGAGTCTGTACCGACCCTCTTAAGAGCATCCCATCCAGACCCACTCCCTGTATATACTATAGCTAATCCACCTGACCTGCATATCGCCCGAACCGTCTAGACTCACACATTGCCATACTGGGTAAGCGCGACAGTGTTATTTACCTAAAGGACATTAATGAAGTTTTACGACAATTGGCAGTAGTTGTGTGATATCTTTTTTATTCTGGATTTTATGCAATTCAAATTTCACTGTCTGCCTTGGGGGGATTCAAACCCAGCTCCCCAGAACATTAACCTGGGATTCTGGACCGCCAGTACAGTAACGTTACCATGTCACCACGGCCTCCCCATTCGCACACATCCACTCCCCTCCTGCAGTCACTGAACAACACGTACACTGACCTGGCCTAGTCTTTGTCTCTCCTGTTTTGCAGATAATCCACAAGAAGACCAGACGACAGTTAGTGTCCCGGGTGAATTCCTGCCCCACATCCAGCATCAGCTTACACTTGTGAACAACACTGAACCAGGAGACAGTAAGGAGAGATCCACTTGAATTCTGCTCATTCCCAGAAAACCCTTGAATTGAATTTAGTCAACATCTTGAATATTTTAAAAGAAGAAACAATTTGCATTTCCATAGCACCTCTCACATGCTCATGAGAAACATGTGCAGCCACTTTGTGTACATTAAGCTTGTAAACAGCAATGTGGTCATTTTTTCCCTATATAGTATGTGGGTGTTGCTGGTAAGGTCATCATTTGTTGCACATCCTTAATTGCTTTTGAATTGCCTGTCTTGCTCAACCATTTCAGAGAGCAACCAAAAGTCAACTGCATTGCTATTGGTTTCGAGTCACATGTAGGACAGCAGATTTCCTTCCTTTAAGAGCACTAATGAACCATACGGGTTTTTACAATAGATCACAGTTGTTATGGTCACCATCACTGTGACTAGCTTTATACTCAAGACTAATCAATTCCATTGAAGTTCCACCAGCTGCTGTGATGGGTTTCAAAACCATTTTCTTGCAAACCGATTAGCCAGAACCTATCCACAGCAGGAAAGTTCCATTATGTCCTTTAAAAATAGTGCCACTGAATCTGATATGAGATGGCAGACAGATGGTGCCTCTGACTGTGCGGCACTCACTCAGTACTGCCTCTGGAGGGTCTACCATGGTTATCTGGTCACATCCCTGGACTTGACCTTCCGTGTCAGACACTCATACAGTTGTCCCAGTGAGGTGGCTGTGAACAACTTCAGGAAAGTAGGAGGGATAATTACAAGAAGTAAAAACTGCAAATAAATTGGGATTGTTGTGATCCCTGTTGAGGATGAGGGGCACACCCCTAGGAAATAAGATTTCTGAGAGTGAGGCAATATCCTGTCACACTCGGGGTCCATCAGGATTCTAGAATTGTTCTCATGGTTCTTACAGGGTCTGCTGTACTCGGATCAGACACAGCATTGGGGGTTCGGGCCAGGAACACCAGTGGTGGTGGGGTGGGGGTGCCGGTGATTTCTGTCCTTGCCCTAGTCACATCCCCTCCAATGTGTGGAGGAGAGGGAAGCTCATCGCAGTCACATTCACACGAGAGATGGTTCTGGGTGTTGGAAAAGAAACCTGAATATATATTACACAGGGAATTAAACAGAATTCATTCATGTGGAGAGATGTAGCGAATATTAGTCCAATAAGCAATTCAGGAGAATCTTCTTTACCATGAGATGTTTAGATGGTGGAACACACTACCTCATGAAATAAGTAGTACAGATGTAATTAAGAGAAAGCTCGATAAACATTTGAGAAAAAGGAATTGAAGGATATTTTGATAGGGTGAAACAAAGAAGGAATAGCAGAAAGCTTATATTGAAGCTAAACATCAGCATGGACCAATTCTTTATTTTCCTGTTCTGTACATTGCAAATTTCAGGCAAAAACACTTCAAATTAAACTGGGACAACAAGGTGCAGGGCTGGATGAACACAGCAGGCCAAGCAGCATCATAGGAGCAGAGAG